ACGTCACATTACTTGGTGTCACATCACCTATGAACAAATTCTGTTTCTCCACTAGATTTAGCGGGAAAATTGATGTCACATGACCTCAACAGCAACTGAATTCCCCGCTAAATTTAGCGGGAAAATTGACGTCACGTGCAGAGGAGTAGGAGGGGAAGGTACGGTGGAGGAGGGAAGAGGAAGATGAGGAGGAAGAAAGGAGGAGGAGAGGAGAGGACGAAGCAAGGCGAAGGCGGACAGGAGGGGAGGAGGAGGAGAGAGGGGGAGGATGGGGGAAGAGAAGGAGGAAAGGAGGAGGTGGAGGAAAGAAGAGGAGGAGGAGGAGCAGAGGAGAAAGGGAAGAGGAGAAGGTACGAAGGAGGAGGAGAGGGTCTGGAGGAGAAGGAGGGGCATACCCTCCCCTCCGTACCCTCCCCTCCTCCTCCTCAAGAGCTGCGCTCTAATTTCGCGTTACAGAGATTTGTAAACGTCTTTTATTTTAATTTTATAAACTGCGTAGTTTCTAGTATAATATTTTAATGAGTATTAGCGACTCCAATTGTCTATAGGTGGCGCCACTCGTTTTCCAAAATGGCGGTTATGGGTCGCAGATGCGTGCTAGTAAACCAGTTGCTGAGCCTGTCTAGTGTACTGGCTTCACTGAGGGGCACAAATTGTCCCCGCTTATACAAGGAAGCTAGGGTGTTCGGCCCGCTGGTCACCTCTTAATCCTGAAAACAAAAACGGCGTTTAGAGGTCATACTTACGCCTGGAGGCTCGTTTTGATTCAAAAACGAAACCGAAACTAACTTTTATTTTGGATTTGACTTCTCGGTAGAGTTGTTGATTTTGGTTTCTTTTCTAACTCAAGATGTGTCCCACGGCGTAACTTTAAGCTAAAGAAATGGTTCGCGGAAACTTTATTTTGTGATGTACGAGTCCAATCCAGACACTGCAAAATATTTTGCAGAGTTCAATGTCCCATTAAAGACGGGGTCTTTGAAATACCTTAGAGATATCAAAATGTTGTATTTGTTGAAAACATCTGCGCCTATATTTCTGTGTTCTTGCTGCTTTTTCTCATTCAGATAATTTTCATGTAAAATAATGAACTGCTGGCCCTTTAGTAGGTTTTTGGGCATTTAGAAAATTAATTGCTTCAGCATTTATTCTAAGCACAAGAATAAAAGAATCAATCAAAAGTTTACGAAAATATCGCCACGGGTGATGAGTTTAAATTGTGTTCACAAAAGTATAAATTAAGGAGCACTGTTCTCATTACAAAAACCCCAAAACAAAATCTGTGTCAGACAAAAAAGTATGCGTGTTTTCTAAGACAACGTGTGATGCAAAGAACTTCATATTAATCCAGTGTTTATGTCTATCTTCATAACGATGTGAGTTTTTCATATCCTAAACATAAAACAGTAAGACATTTCTCTAAAGGCTATTATGGCTAAATGGCGTATTATTGTAATTGTGGTGTGGCCTACATTACCGCAATTTGTATTAATTATAATACACGTAAGCTATTTTACTAAGTAATTTTTAAGCTCTTTTATAAATTGTAGCTTATGATCTAATTCCAATCGCGCAAGCAACTATGGCAATCCAAAGTTTTAAAATTTTCATCACTGGTGTCAATTGCAGCATTTTTAATTGACAAGTTAAAAAATAAAAATAGTCTAAAATAAATGAAAACGTCCTCGCTAGTCTGAGAAATCCATGCAAATGGCAATAATTGTGAGTAAAGCATATGGTGCTACCAAAGCCGCGACTTTTGACCGTCGGCAAAACATCCGAATTATACTACGTCTCACTCTACGATGGACTAAAGGCAGAAGCTATGGACCGCCAGATTCAGTCACGAGTGACTTAGAAGTTGCGCGGTATTTCGCTTCGATGCCCGTATCGGTGCCCGCATCTCGGATCACTAATGGGGAGGAGCGGACTGTGGTTCAGATTGAATAGCACTGAGTGACTCAACAATTTTAGATTGCGAAGAAAAATACGACATACAGGCTCTTTGCAGTGTCGAAGCTATGAAAAGATGCAGCACTTTTGGATTCGGAGGACCATTCGTTCATACCTAATCAATGCCAGGCGTGTCATATTTTAGAGTGGAACGTGATTGGACCTCGCGGCCCGTGGCTTTGGCCTTTAGTCCATCGTAGGATGAGACGAAGTATAGCCACCAATCCTATTGGAACGAATGCTCAGAAATACAAAGCAGGAACTTCGTTTATTTCTTTAATTACGAAACTTCTCATAACATTTTTTTTACGCACTGTCGGTTTGCTAATTTCAGCCTTTCCAATTGGAAGGAACGCCTACCCGCTTGCACGTCTGCTCAATGAAGAACGATTCGTTGGCGTTGGAAAACCGATAAAACAGTAGTGAGTTTTATTATTACATATACGAGCGAACGCAAGCACTGTGTGTTTTCGTTAACGTTGCGTGCTTCACACTGATCGTGCACAGAGCCCGAAATTGCGGACCTTGATTGGCGCATGGCGACAGCGCGCATATGCAGCGGGGAGCAAGACAGCTCTAACGCAAACGCACGGCGCTGGCGTTTGCTTTTACATTCAATACAAAAACTCTCTACATAGTAAGGCACAATCCCATACCGGCTGTAGCGTTACAAAAAAAAAATGAAGTGTGTGTATGTTTATACAGCCTAGAACTTATTCTGCTTCAATGGGCGATTTAGATAAGAAATTTAGCCAGTGCAGTACAACCGCTAACGTCACGCAGTAGTGATACATGATGGCACGCCGGTACGATGCTTATCTAGATCGAAACGGGCAGGGGTGGGATTGAACCCAGGATCCCTGGGCTCTGCAGCGCGAGCTTTCGCTCACGTCCTCCTGCAGCGCTACATTGGTACAGTGGAGAGTGTTGTTTGCCTTCAGAAATGACATTTCGCGAGCCATGATCGCGAGCTTTTCAGCCGCTCCCGCAGAGCAGGAGAACCGGGGGACCCTTAGTAGATCGCCGAAAGATGCCTACTACAAGGACTAACTATGGCCGGCAAGCAATAACGCTTCATGTAACGAAAACTTTAAATAGAAAAGATATAGACATAGACTTTCAAGATGTGCTGAAAAGAAATCTGGATTCCACAAAACACGCGGCAAAAGCGTGCAAAGGGATGCTACAAACACCAAAACATCATTCATACAGCGATATCGCGAACGTATTTTTCAAGAAAAGGAGGCGCATTTGAAAGAAATGTTCACGTCATGTTTCTCCGAGAAGGAGAGGGAACGGCCTCGCGTCTTCTCCGCCTCGCCGCCTTTAGGGAGCGAAACGAAGAGAGGAGGAAACGAGATATCTTGACGTAACGCGGCTCGTCGGCCTGCAGGTTCAATCTCGACCCTTTTTCCTAAAATACGGCCGTCCAATCGAGATATCGCCTTACGTGTAGTGTTGTAGGGATTGTAGCGTCCCGCCTACATCTCCTGCGTTGTTTCTTCTGAAATCCAAATTTCGGTTCACCATCCATCTAACAAACCTTTTCATAAATTCAAAAATAAATGCAGAAGATTCGTGGTGGGAAGTGGTATTGCTTTTTCATCAACTTGAGGCCTCTTTTACTCTTGATGCGCACTTCAAAGCCTAATCTTGTTTTAGACATTAGTAAATGTTAAAAAGCTTTTGCTGCTTTTTTATATATTTTTTTAATCAAATTTTACAGAAGTGAGTGCATTTCAATGTCTATGTCTCTTTGTTTACGGTGCATGTGTGTATATATATTGTATGAATAAATATGTATATTGTTCAGTGTTTGTGGTAGTTTCAGTATACTTCATTTTCTTGTTAAATTTTCCGATATTAGTTCTTTTGTTTTAGTTTCATAACAGTTCATTTAAAGTGGCACACTAATGTAGCCGTTTGAATGGTACTATCTGAAATGTTTACTGCATAACTGAACATATGAAAGCGAATTTTGTTTTTATGACATATCCTGTTGTTATTAGTTAGTTTAATTTTATGCGTTTAATATTATTTGCTGCCTTTAGTTAAGGCTATTCATGGCCACTGAGCCATATGTTGTTCAAGTTTCTTGATACCTTCTGTTTGTTATTGCATGGTTTTATTTTATGCTCTATCGCATGTATTTTTTTCATATATTATGCTGAACTGTAGGAGGCAGAGGCTCTGTCAAGCATTACGCCTTTATCTCTGCCCCCTATGCGGAAATATATTCGCAAATCAAATAAAGAAGAAAAAAACTATACATGCGTGTCTTTGTCGCATCATGCTAGCAGCGGTTTTCTTTCTTTTAATATTACCGGGCTCCAGCGCATATCAATTACTTTCCTGTTCATCATTTTTATTCTGGTCAAATATTATGTGTTACATGAAACGACAGAAAGGAAGCAAGCCCATGCGTTATAGTGATCAATGACAACATTTCAGATATTATGTTTCGTCAATTGTCTCGAATCGAATTAACTTAATCGTTAGGTGCACCTCCATGCTCAAACAATGGCGTAGTGCAACAACAAAACTCTCGTTGCCTGTCACCTCGCAAAGATATATTTATCTCATGTGCAATAAGTAAGCTTCTTATTTTTACAATCAAAGAGAGGCTTCAGTTACAGCTGTCTTAACGGAAACCATTATAGAGTACAGGTGTGCCTCAGGCATGTCACAAAACCCGTAAAAGACTACGGCAATGTGCGTGCAGCGGAAATGTCCAGTCAACAGGTGCGCCGCGATGGACGCCATGTTATATGCCAGAGTATGTAACAATATTTTAAATACTCATTTTTATTTCATGACACGAAGAAAACTTCATATTTGCGTGTATTCATCTGCAGCTCAACGTTACTCGACTGCACATCACGTCAGGCGTGAGGCATTCCATAGACCTTCACAGTCAGCGCTAAACCGTAAACATTTATATTCAAATCGCTACATTATTGCTTTTAACTGTCGTATTTATAATAAGTTGTGAATTTACTCCTCGATAAGGAATGTCGTGTTCCGTTCACCCATAACCGATAAAAGGGCTACGAACTTAGTATTCGGTCAAGATCAACGGCATCAAAGTTAAGGAGCTTGAGAGTTGTTTCGAACACCTCTTTCGTTTTCTTTGGGTCAAGGGCCTTCCAATTGACCCAGTCCTCTCTGCAGTCCACGAAGTACTTCCCCGTGCTCGAAGTCAGCGCTGGATCCACGGCAGCGTGGACACTCGTCTCGGCTGCCTCTTGAACACTCTGTTTCAACACAAGCAAAAACCGCTTTGTATGTTGTTTGCTTTTTTTTTTTTCCGCTTAGCCGTTGTTAATAATATTCAAATATATGTACCCCACTTTAAAATGTTCACAATGGGACGCACCTTAGCTAAATAAATAGCTTGTAACTACTGCTTTAGTACTTTCCTCTTTAATGGTAAAGATGGCGCTAAAATAAAGTTTTCAACGTTCGCGTTTATACGACGTAAGATCTGTCTGCCTTTGAGGTGCGGCAACACTAGATTGAGCTGTAGACGAGAAGTTTAGCCAGTGCAGTGCCACGGCCAGCCTGGGGTCTTTAACGTGCAACACGCACCGGTGATATACTACCACCCCCCGGTATAATACCCATCCAGATCGAAACAGGCAGGGTTGGAGGTTGCAACACAGGATCTCTGGGTTCTGCATCGCGGGCATTCGCACCACGGATTCTGAACCACGGTGTGCTAACACACTAGGCAGGCGCCGATCCACCCGAAATGTTATGTTAATACTGGCTAATGGTGCATTGTTGAACACACTAGATTTAGAGTTAAGCAAAAATGATTATTTTAAAAGGAAACTTGAAAATGTGCAATCTGTTTGTAAAAACAACTCGTTATTGGACCCATGTTCGGCAAATATGATTCGGCATACATTTTTCACTGTGGGAATTTCGCCTGATACTAAATGTTGACCAAGCTTTTCAATAGATTTAAGTCGCTGGCTTAAATTATTGTCGATGTCCTGCACCATAGATCATATGCATCATTCGCCCAGGCTTTACTGTGTATTACCACTGACGAGAGGATTTAATGTTTGAATAAAATTTCCAAGAAGAAACCATCGCTTCCCGGCAATGCCTGAAGCTTTGTCAGGTAACCCTTATCGGCTCATGCCTCAGCTTCGTGTTAAAAGGCTTGTTCAACGATCTTAACATCGCGAAAATCTACTCCGTACTACATTTATTTCATTTATCTAAGCACAATCAAGCAAAAGAAAACACGTCGATTTCCCTGGTATCACCACTAATACAGTGTCATCGTGAAGTGAATTCCTGACTACTACCCGACCTGCCGCCTAGTGTCGGGGCCATTGGGATCACGAAGTCACGTCGCCAGGAATTAGCAAGTTGTGTAGTTGTACGCTATTATGCAAGTGCAATATATCTTATCGTGCAAGCATCAAGAACTTTGTTTAGAAGCCTTTTATTGTTGTCGATACTCATGCAATGCATCGTCTGTGGCGCCATCTACGCCAAGAAAACAAAACCATCCTCTCTCCACCTGCTTTCGTGACGAACGGTGAAAGGGGAATTAACGTGTTATTTTCCTCGTCTGAAACCGGCTACCCGCTGCGGCTATCAGCGATGGCAAGTAGTTGTGGCGTTCCGACGTGACCAAACTGAAGCTCGAAAACCGTTCTAATTGGAAGCGAAAACATCCGGACCACCTCAGAACGTCGCTGCGCACGTGATTCGGAAGACGGTGTGAGAGCTGAGAAGATCACGAACTTAAACTTATTTCATTTTTATATGAAAGCTAGCACACACAAAAAAAAATTGGCGCTTTCTTTTTCATTCTATATATGTCTCAAAGATTAATTGCAACAATTAAGGGGCAAAGTCCGAAATTCGTTGCATGGCCACTCTAAGTCAATTGTGGGATGTCTCGGTTTAGCACTACTTGATATCTAGAACAAAATAACTGAAATGTTATAAACCTGACGGGGCAATACTCCATCAGAAGTGAGAGAGCACTTGTGAGCTGGGAGGGGGGGGGGGGGGGGGGGGGGGGGGATAAGGAAACGAACGAGCAAGGCAGAAACTCTGTTAGTCCGGTTTTTTTTTTTTTTTTTTTTTTCCACATTTTGTGGTTTATGTGAGCGTCAATGTACTGCGTTGCTTTAAAACCAGAGGCGATAAAATTGTTCCGCTGCGTAAAGGTCAAGACGAAAGGAGTGCGCGTTGAACAGTGAAAAGTAGCTCAATTAATGTTTAAATTCGTGCAACCTGTTAATACTGCAATTTCATAAGTCGAACAATTCAACAAAAGCGTTCCAACTTAAAGCGTAAATTTGTGCAAGGATGTGTGCTATAATATCAACAGTAAGTGTAAAAACTCAATAGAATTGGCCAAAATGTAAAAATCAGAATTTGTTTTATTTAGGCAATTGAAAATGTTAGTCATAACTTTAATTATGTGACTACAAACGTTACTCACCACTTCTTTTTTTACTTAACCTGTTGAACACTCAATAAACGGTAGTCTCTTGAAAAACAAGCAATTCATCATATATTTGACAGGATCATGCATTTGGTCATTCTTTGCATTTGAGGTCATTCAAATTGTTAAAAAATATATTATAGTGCTCTAATATTATTTGCTTAGTTTAAAAAAAAAAGTTTCACAATGAGTATTTGAATGCTGAGCTTTCTGCGATGTTCAAACATGTTTCCTCTCAATCTAAATGTAAGTTCGACACTCACCTTTCCATATAGCTTGAGGGTTAAAAGTCGCATCAGTGAAAAGATTCCAGTAACGCAGCCACCCATGTCAGTTTCCACAACTCCAGGATGAACGCTGTTCGCAGTCACCCCTTAAATGAATGACATAATGGGTTATAATTAATAATTATGCTTTAGACTTAGAGAGAGTTTTTAACTTCGTCCCGTACTTCATGTACAGCGCTGTGCATGAAAATGGCTTGATAGAGAAACTCAGTGGCACGACGTGTGTGCACCAACACACAGGCAAGAAAAGCGCCTTCTATCGTGAAAACGGAACTGCGTTTTGTGATCGCTAATGAACGCATTTTGAGAAAATAATTGCAGTACAGCAGGGCGTTCTTTCTGTGATGTTTTAAGTAGCTGGATGCGTAATTATTGTCCCTGGTCTTGAAGCCGCATAATGTTTCCACACTGTAGATAACCTTTAATCGCGCCTTGTTACCTTTTTAAATCTGTGGGGGAAAAAAACGACTTTATTGCGAAAATATCCCAAGGTAAGGGGGAAAAGCTCCCTTCTGCAATGTGATCATGAATAACTCTAAATAGACAGTGATACAAATCGTGTTCGTTGACACGACCACGAAACTGAAGGCCGCTGACAACCTGCTGTTTTGTGATTTCATGAATGTTTCTTTCTAAGCGCATCAATGAACAAAAAATACCTTCCTATTCCCCGAAAAAAAAAATGTTGCCACTTCGCTCTTACAATTACATCGCTGCTAAAGAAAAAAAAAACACGTCCCTGACGTCTTGACGAACCTCTCGAAATGTGGAAACTGCCAAAATTTCGTCCGGAAAGGTTCCCAATTTTCGAAGCACTTCGAAAGCGAACCTTAGATGTTTCTGCCCACCACTAAGTTTAAACGCTCTTAGGAACAATCGTGTAACCTCAAAATTGTTTGTTAAACAAAATCACGAGTTCAGTATAGCATTCCAAATTATTAATGCGAAAGCAGGAAATGGGTTCATAGAGCGATCTGGCTTTATCCGAGCTTGAAACCGGTGATATCGTTCTCTTTAGCAACGATAAACGGCACCTAAATTCCCCCGAGCGAAACTGAACCTAAATTCCCATTGGCTGCGACGCGTCATGTGGCTCTATAGCAACGGCGTCATCGTTGCTAAGGGGTCCTGGCGGCGCACCGCATAGACTAAAAACACGTCAAAACAAAATAAATTAATGACTTCGAAATAAAATGTGTCTACGTTTCTGGCTGGGACCGAATTGAACCCTGGCCTCCGGGGTGCGATACGATTACGGTTCCTCGCCGCCAGGGCGGGTCCACGGTTCCGGCTGACTAAAGCTGTGCCCAGTGCGTGCGTCATGCTTTCGCATTCCCACACGTGAGCAGTCTTAAGTGTCACTTCCAAATTTTTTCATACAGTCCAAAAACCGACATGGTGAAAGAACGTTACCTACCATGGCCCTTGAGCTTGGATGCCAGCGCTCTGGTAAACATGATGATCGCGAGCTTGGTATGGAAGTAAATGAACATTGATAAAGGGCCGAAATCGGTGCCTTTTGCCTTCGCCTGCAGATTGTCCACGTTGCCAAGGTGATGAAGAAACGACGAGATATTCACGATGCGACTCGGAGCACTCTTCTTTAACAGACCTGCATGGACATCACCGTTTATGGAACCTCACATTTATACGTTCTGATTTGTTTTCAGCCAGACATTTAATGCAGAAATGGGAGCTTAGGCAACCGCATAAATTACCTGTTCTTTGACATAATTTATTTATATTTGGGCATGATTCTTCAGACACTAATATGAACACGGTGATCGCACTTGATGGCAGACCAATTAAAGTTAAGAGATGCTGCTCTATTAGGAAATTCACCTAGCCTTATTGGAAGGCATTATATGGCATTCATAATAAAAAAAAACATGACTAAATGGCAGATTAGTGGAGATCTCTCGAACACCTAAAGCACTAGGTCAATAACTTCAGAATTTTCCGGTAGGTGCTTATTTGTTATAAAAAAAAATCGATTAATCAATTCGCAAAAACATACCCAAAAGAAGCAGAGTGAGCAGGCAGTGTCCGAGGTAGTTTGTCTGGAAACACTCTTCGTAGCCGTCCTTTGTCAGCTTCACGTCAGGACGCTCTGTCAACCCATGCAATACAGACATTTGCCACAAAACGCGGTAAATTGGCATTATTTTATCAGCACGTTACAAGTGATTTAATGAAGATCCTTTCAATCATGAAGTTTCTTTGTTGGTTCCCATCGACAACCTTGAGAAGCAGTGCAACATGTCTAACACTGTAGGGGTGAAGACGGAAGTATATCACGAATGTACTCTTGCGCTGCAACCTTCTTCGTAGCAGATAATGTTATACCCTCTCAAAGTGTTGGAGTAAATTTCAACAAAAGGGAGTTCTCGTAGGCCGTTTTCCCAAGTCCGCTACGCTCCCCGAAACAAAAATGACAACAAGTGCGCATGCGCGACGCTAGCCTTCCCTGAAAAATCGAGGATCTCGTAGTGGGTTACGGAGAACGTTTCAGGACAGCGGAAACAATCTACGAAAACCCTGTTATATTGTGTCAGTTTACTCGCCATTAATCGTATATGCAAGATCGTGTACGACAGAAGGGCGTTTAATTGCAGAAGAAAGAATGAATAGCTGCTCTCAAAGTTTATGTTCAGTTTCACCACGATATTATGAATTATAAAAAAAAATCTAGATTGTGTATCTCGTGATTACATGATCTATTACTTTGCAGCGAATACTAGATAGCAATATCGGTATGTACTTGAACACGCCGTTTGCTAAAAGTCTTGCGTATCAGCACAGCCTTTCTACGCATTAAATTAGGAGGCAAGTATCTACAGTGGCCTCAGATTTAAAGAAACAATGTAAATCAAGTTATTATTTTTCTGCGCGACATAACAGAAAGGTTTTAAAAATACCACCAGGGGCGCTACACGGCAGAACCAGGCAGGACAAGCATACCGGGCCATCGCCGCCTTTCGCGATTGGTCAATGCGTGGCTCTGACCAACCGCAGCAGGTGGCGATATTCCGGTCCCTTGGTCCCGCTTAGCCGCGCCGTGTAGCCTAGAGCCCCCCAGGAGATGTTCTATTCTTCTTCTTTTTTTTTTTTTTTACATGAAACCTTTTTTAGCTATGTATTCGGCATTTCTTGAAGCCTGGATAAAATCGTGGCCGCGAGGCTCGACATTGATTGGTTAGGTGCTTGACGTTGATTGGTTAACGGGACGGAGCGTTCATGCGGCCCGATAGGTAGGCGAGGATGAGTGAGGTAGGCGAGAAGGGGCTCGACCATCTGTGTGCACCAAAGGATAGGAGCTCGAGTGTACGGAAGGCTCTAGATCACCAGGTTTATCCGATTAGCGCCGATTAGTGGTATTAACACTTCATTTCAGGAACAACTATGAGGTGTACACATGGTACGCGATGAACCATTTGGTGAAGATCGCCGTGTACGTAGCCGTCAATTGCCTAGCAATATGCGATGATTCTTTTATTAAACTTTTTGAGCAGACATATGCCGCTGGTGCTAATATTTTTTTCTTCTCACTGATTTAGAAGAGCCTAATTTGATTGCTTTATCGGTAAGGAATCAAAGACCAAAACGACGTTCAACGGAACCTGATGAGCAACTTGGCAAAGATCGCAACAATTAGCAGAAATCTGCTCAACAAACTTGCTGTTGGCGGACGAAACTATTCACAAGTTTTGCGGTGCAATCTTATAAAGTTCATTAGTGTGAATAAAAAAGTCATTCCAAGAGCGGCGCACTTTTTGTCATACATTTGCCATTACTTCGGAGTGCTCTGCGTTCCTAATATTGTCACGAATCACAGATGATGAGGCGACGAATGAACAGAAACCATACGTGTAATTTGTGAACTTGTGCTGAAAACAAAAATACATATATAGGTAGCGTCGCTGGTCGGCAGAGTAGCAGGATCGAGCGCAAGAGCGAGACTGACTCCGGACCGTCACGGGGAACATCTTTTCTACACGCGTGAATTTCTGGAACATTCGAAGTAGAACACTAATAACTGGATCAGACAACAAGGTTCTCGAACTTACGAGAACGTCGAGTTGAAAGAAGAAATAAAAGGGGAGTCCGCGCTCTGGGAACCTACCAGGAGCATCCGCGCGAGAGCCAAGCACAGTAACCATTCGGCCACGCACTCGCTCGCTCGGCGACACGCGTGGCAATATATTGTCAATTTTAATATATCACTTGGTATTCAAGCATCCTACTTTGTTTTCTTAATATTTCGCTGCGATGAAGGCGCGATGCCGTTGAAATTTGAAAAATATTCAATAAAGTCGGTGAAAAACATGCATGTCAAAGTATTTGAAGCGCAAGTCAAAGGTGTCTGTTCAGATTCATCACTTGCAAGTTGCAACAGGAAGTCGAAGACATATTTACTCTTCTAGTCTTTCCTGGTAGGATAAAACTTTCACCCAAAGAACACTAGCTTATGAGAAACGCCATTATGAGCCCTGATGTCGCAGTTCCCGGGAAGTAAAAGCTGTTAAAACAAAGTCTAAAATAATTTGTTGACGCTTCGGGATGGACTGTTACTTTCCACAAAAAGCTAAATCAGACCTAAAAAGCATTGAGCGATTTTAAGTGTCGGATTCAACAATAATTTATCAAATTTAATGCTGTTAAACTTAAAAAGAAAACTTCCAGTCGCTTTTCTGGCATAAAATGGAACTCTGTTTAGTGCATTACACATCTATACTACATAGATAATTAATAATAATTTTGAGTTATGACGAAGCTCCCTTTTTCAAAATATGTGAAAGAAGAGGAACATCTTATTTGGTAACTCAGTCGTCTCAGATGTGCTTTAATGCCTCACGTTCGCCTCCTTTTCCGTCCTGCCGTATGCTGCATTAAGTAATTTATTGCACTATTGTTTTTGTTCTAGGGTCACATGCAAAATATGTACGACTAACACGACCTATCATAATGTCAAAATTACGTGCCAAAAACAAGAACCCCCAAATATAGCGGAATGTCGCTGCTTCTATTTCGTTGTTTCTGCTGCTAACCCTGCCGCCACTGCTTAAAAAGCTAAGGAGATAAGAAAAACGACTGAAAAAGTCTCTACAACTTAGTGCCGAAGTATGTCCATTCATTTTACACTCACCTACCATGACCCCAGCATTGTTGATCAACACGTCGAGTCTTGATTCCGTTCTCATTATATCCTCTGCAAATGCTCGAACTGACGTCAAGGAAGCCAAATCAAGAGGCTTGATGATCACACACTGCTGCGTCTCCTCAAATATTTCCCGCGCCGCCCTTCCGGCTTTCTGTAGGTTGCGACAGGCAATGATGACCCGAGCTTTTCTCCTGGCTAACTCTTTCGCCGTTTCTTTTCCTATGCCTGAGAAACAAGAAACAGAGCATCATTCAAGTCCCAGCCTTTCATGACTCCCTGTTACTACCATATACCATGTTTTTTGCGTTTTTTGTCAATTCGGTACGCATTGTATTAGGGGTGATTGAGGGTGCATCAGTTATATTCAGAAATGGCTGCGAATATTGGGTGTCTAGTGGCCACAAGGTATTCGCGTCACTCTAGCTGACAACAGTTTTAACATAATCAACTTATAAGGCACTTAATGGTATCGGTCGTACAGCCGTCATCACTTCACTCAGAAAAACGACCAGAGGCGGTCTCGAAAGGCGATAGCACGTTTGCACATGATGATATGCCATTCTTTTCTTAGATGTTGGTAAATTCTTATACTTGACCTTAGAAGTTGTGTACACTACTGGAAAAGCCAAGGACGCCAGCGCGTAGCTCTTCTAATGTGTTAACCTCCTCGCTTGCGCTCAAGGAGCGAGAAGTAGCGAGAATATGAAATGCTTAGAATGCCGTCCCTAGTACAAACGGAGCGATGCGTCCTCCGCGCGCAATTCCGGTGTAAAATAAAAAAAAACTTCAAGTATTTATTCAGAGTAACAAATGTAACTCTGTATAAAAGAAGTGCATGTAACTCTAACAGTGATACAAATGTAACAAGACCAAATCTGGGGAATGTATTCCAAAGAGAGAAGTTGTACGTTTTTAAGATACTCCAGAAAAAAAAAATACTTTAAGTAAAGTACAAGTACACACTCAAACAATGCACTTCAAATAAAGCAGAAGGTTGTTTTTTTTTAAATTCTACATTAAATAGTGCTGTAACTAATGTACCTAAAGTACTTCCCAACACTGAAAAACACCGCATTCATATTACGCAGGAGGATATAGTATAGATTGTGACGAAAAACTCAAGTTTCCTCCAAGACAAATTAGTTGTAGTTGACTTAACACACTGGCTAATGGTTTGGTGGTCAACCTCCGGCTTCGTTACAGACTGCATTAAAATGGTTTTGAAGTTTCTCAAGGGCGAAATCCACTATAGAAGCGCACATGTCCGCTATACAATTTTTTTTTTTTTTTCACGGTGAGGGTATTTTTGGTTCTTCTACTTTTTTTTGGCATTCGATACAGAATTAACACGGAATGTGTTCTAGGGGCTTTTTTTTAATAAAAATCGTCATGAACGAGCGTCATAAAGGAGCGTGACGAACGAGCGTCATAAACGAGCGACACGCCGGGGCCGTTACATAATCCATTTTCCTCGCTCAATTTAGCGAGAAAATTCACGTCGTTACGGCGTCAAGTTACCTAAAAACACAGTCCAGTTTTTCCTCTAAATTTAGCGGGGGATGTTGTCGTCACTTGACCTGACGTCACGCGACGAATAGCATATTTCATTTCCCCCGCTACATATGGCGGGGGAATTGGTCAATAACCAAAACACTAATCGTTTCTTCGCTAGATTTAGCGGGGGAAATCGAGGGAAAGCGAAGATGTCTCGTGACCAATAAAAGAATTCGGCTTCTCCGCTATATTTTCAAGGGAAACAAGTAAAAATAAATGATAAAAATATTACAAAAGTAAAAAATCGTGTGTGTGGTTTGTGCGGAGCACAGCCAGTGCTTACTGGTCTTGGTCAGCATCATCAAACTAGTGAAATTGTTTAGTGCTCAAGCTTTTCCGACGAGATAGATATCAACTTTCATTTTTTATTATGTACATAACATTTTTAAATTCGCTTCATATAAATCTTGTATTAGATCTAGATCGCCCGTGATCATCATGCAGTTCCGGTGTCAACATCCGTTAATGAGAACACCAAGTCCCTAACAGAGCAAAACGGATTTTCGTACAGTTCTTCTTGGCAATAAGAGTAATGGCTGTCTTTTACTTAAAATAGTCTCGTCATTGACAGCTACGGCCACTTGGTCTTTTACTTCTCAGAACACTTATCCTTGCAAGCATTCTTAAACCATATATATATGTGTGAACATCCCGAGCTCACCGAACGGCCAATATAAAAAAATCAAAACGTAAGTTATGAAATCATGACTTGATAATTATTCGCCGTATCAAACGCATCTTGATAAAAAAAAAGAGGGCAATATTATTCATTTGATAATACAGGATCACAGCTCACCTCCGTTGCCTCCAGTGATTATGACCGTTTTTCCTTCCATAGTGGCCTTCGACCTACAAACACCCCTAGTGTACACAACGTACGCTCTGACGCAAACTGCAGTCGTTGCGAACACCGCCACAATCTTTGCTAACGCCGCGAAGAGCATCCATAGCAAACTGATATCTTCTTTTGTTTCGTACGGTCCCATTGCTGTGTCCAGCTACACGTTCTTCTGAGGATCTACACTCCGGCGAGCTCGGTAACGGTCTGCGTTTGGAAACTCGAAGCTCAAAGACACGCGCGCTACTGGAGGATGGGAGAGAGGGTAGGCAGGTTCTCCTTGATTATGTGTGTACGTACGCTGGAAGCATGCCAAGACTAACATCCAGGAAGATACCTTTTCTTTTCCGCCTTCGTCGATTTGTGCGACAATAGGCGAAATTTCTCGAATATGCTAATCAATTATACCCATTCTCCTCTCCTGAAGTTTTGGGAATGCTAACAACGCTACAGTAACGTCGATTAAGCGCGTTGTACTACAATAAGAAAATATAATTTTATACTCGGCGTCAGGTATTTTGTGCTAGGTTGTCAAGGTCAGCTCAGCCTCCGCGGTGCTGCAACGCTGTCAAAGCAACTTGCCCGAGCACGTGTGAATGATGTGCAAGAGGAAGCCACGCGCTGTCGGAGCACAGCGGTACTGCAGCGCTGTGAAAGCTCCGCTAGCCTTGAAAGAGTAAACAAAAAAGTCGACGCCGAGTATAGGCTTTTAGATGTCGTACGCTCGTTTGCCGTGTGGTGGTTTTGATTGATGTTCGACACTCGTGTCTTTTGTTCGTCTTTTTTTTACTCAAAATGAATCATCTTTAAGTCCGTATTAAAAATTGCCATTTGTTTTTACTTCATACCAGCGTGATCAGTGGGGTAAGGTAAAACCCAAATTTTGCGGCGCGTGATCTTTATGTGCGGCACTCTTGTTTCGTTTCATACGGCTTATTGTATTCCCATCAAAATGGTGTAGGATAACATTTTCCTTGCCTGAGGCAATGACATACCGCCCACCTTCGAAGAACGGCTTAAGCAGCTTTTTAATTGTATATTTAGCGACAACAAAATATATGATTTAGATTGCTTAAATGCGAAGGAACTCATACGACTTCAGCTCGCTCTTCTGACATAAAACACATTGTGTTATTGTATCATATTTTATCATTCCTATATGTAAATTATCATTTAGACGCATTTTCAGGCCGCTTCATTAAACGTGCCTGCGTTTGATGTTCAATGGCTTACTATACGGTAAATAATCTTAACAATATTTTAGTTTTGTATTAGTGTTAATCGGCTCGGTTGGTTTTCTCGTCCTATATACAAAAACAAACAGAAAACACAACGCTGCACTAATGAAAAAAAAATGTTTGCGCCGGCCTTCAAATACCTACAGGAACTACAGTCCTTAGTCACAAAACACGCTGCAGGAGTAACGCTGGGGTTACTGGGTACACTTGAAGACGCCTAGAGTGACTGAGAAGTTAGTAAAGGGAGAGCGGGGCTTACTATGTTCACGCTTCTCACCTCGTGGTTGGTCGTTCGGCGATCTTATTGGCTAACGCCGCATTCTCATTGGTTGCTCAGTGATGACGAGATGCTCCGGGTTCGCCGCACTCTGCTTTTCCCAAGTTTTTAGGTACTACAGATGCCATCGCTTTCATGCAGGCAAACGAATCTGCCTAAAACTCCCCTTTAACAAAATAACCGTCTCAATCCGCATCGTTTATCGCATAAGCGGCTTCCTAATACATAACACCACATCGTCGATAATTAGTCCATAATATATAAAGGAGAAATTAAAGCTTTTCTTTTTAGCTCATCTTGCTCGATGTTAAGAAACAACGGTTTCTTGCGCCGTGAGACTATTACACACCAGTTGTTATTGTTGTTGTTGTTTTTTTCTTTTTCTAAGCGTACGAAGGAAGTAACAACGTGTGTAATAACGTTAAGAGTAATATATTGCATTTGTTCGTTTATTGGATACATAGCGGGCCAGACAAAGTTACATTCGCTTGTGCGACGGAGCTTGGCGGTTTCGTTATGCTCGGTTATTGTTGACGGTGGCGTCAAACAGTGCAATCTGGGGCAGAAACGCAAAATGTAGATGCGCAGATTCGTTCACAAATATCTGGCTCAGAACCTATACAGACTTTGCGTTGCACACGTATAGCCACTATTAATCCACTATTAAAACCATTCGTATCAGGCTAAGAAATATAGATTTCGCAGGAATCTCGGGAAGTTTCATTTTTTTAAACAAATTTCTTGTAGACACCGCGCAAATATCGAGGTCAGTGGCCTATTGCTTAATTTTGGCTTAAATAAACCCATAAAAATTATCTTTGAAACTGCCCAAGTAGTAGAACCACGTTTTTTACTGCTAATGCAGTGATTATTTCGAGTACTACTTTCTACCTTCTTTTCTGTGACGTCAGCTGTTCACATTCATCTGGATCTTTCGGTACAGGTAGGCTGTCTAGTTAGTGGACGGACCACCGTAAGACATTTGAGGTGAGGCATGAAAAAATAAATATTGTGCCTCTGTCTGCTCCCGCGTTAGCATTGCAGACTTTATTAAAGTGAAAACCAATTAAACATGTTCTGTAAGTGAGCCAATTAAAGCACAGAAATAAACGAAAATTCGTTCCTAATGGAGAACATTGTCGTACGTAAAATATACCTCGGTGTCGGTAAATCTTGATGCAGTAGTTTTCATACGAAGACTCAATGCCGCGACTTTCGGCAATAACGCCATTTGTAGTTAGTAGGGTCACGTGAGCGCTTACGACAGCCAATGGGAACGAGGCGCCACTCGCGAGATGCCCGCGCAGCGTCGGTGCAACACCGGCTAAATAGTTGCACAATGCCTGTTGGCGCCGAGCAGCGGCAAAGGGAAGGGAGAGGGCAGATAGAACGTGTGGCTTCCGTGCGGTTGAGCCACCCCGGCTTTCAGCACAAACCTGTCGTGTGGCGAAGTCATCCATCTCTTCCGCAGGAGACTCCGTGATGTTGCACCAACAGCAGCCACTGTAAGGTATTTAAACGCCCTTGATCGACACTCTAAAGCTTCAGACCAGCTCACGGTTTTAGCGGAATATTTTTTCTTACTCTATTTTTATCAATCACCCGCAAAGGAGAAGGCGTCAACTATTTCCGTGCGCGAGATTCACGGTAACCACCGAAGCAGACGACCAAGTGTTCGCCACGTTCTCACCGATGATGATGATTATGATGATGATGATGATGATAACGATGATTCTGCGGCTTCTCCCTTTGCAGCGGGCGATCTCGAAAAAACTTGCGTGCCCTAGTCATAAATAAAAATGTGAAAAATAAAAATAACATATACCAACTATTTTGTCTCTCGTCGCCAGTTCTCCAGTGTCGCCTTCGTCCTCTCGATATACCGAGCTCGCAAAACACTATCCCCATCGCAGTGTTTGCTGTGGCTACCTTGGTCGTATTGGGGACCAGACTGGCTCCGTCTGCCTCACCCGTGTTGGCATTGTTGGCCCCTGGAGTCAAAGTAAACCCCAGAGCGTGCGCTAGGGTCGTTTTGGGGTGAGCTTACGATGGTTCATTACAGGTGGTAGAAGGCACTCACGGGACAGCACCAAATTCTCCACTCTCTCAGCCCTGCCCCACACGCTCGACACACAGTAGATTCTACCTTGGGATTGAATCGTTTCTGGTAGTTTAGTTTTCGCAGCGCTGCCGCTCTCGCTTCGAACAACAATCGCCTGCCCAAACTGTTGTCATACAGTTTGGTTTCCGCCGTTATTACTTGTTGATTGTCCCTGTAAAATAATAAGGTATGTTTTCCCTCATACGCTCCAAGCCACTGAAAGGCCTCTCTCTCACGCACTCTTCTTCGCACTTTACCTTCCCACTTCTGCGCTGTTGTTCCCTCCTTGGGCTCTGCGAACAAGCCGCACACAACCGCGGCGGCGAAAGCCAGCCCTGGGATCACCACAGCCTTCTACAGATCCCGAGTTACCAAGAACCTGTCACAGCTCAACAGGCTGCGTTTGTGGGGGACGTTGGGCCCTCGTATGGTCAACCGGCGAAGGTGGGCATAGTGCTCCCCATTCTTGGGGGCCTGTGAACTGAACTGCTGCTAATGTTGCGGACTTAAAGCTTAGGTGTCATGCCGCAACCTCTGCTTCACATATTTTTAGCAATCGCTGCATATCTTGTCAGTCTCAGTCATGAGCACGTTAATCGGCGAAGGTGACCCCAGACAGCACCCAGCTCACCCACTCGCCTCCCTCCAGGTGGACTAAGGAGAGGCCCACTCCCAACTGCAATACCTGCCTCCCCAACCCAGCGACGTAGGCATATACAGTAGCGGGGAAAGTGGGCACCCCTGTAGGAGGCCTTTCGTGATCGTCACCGCGTCTGATTCGGGTCCTCCCAGTTCCGCTCGCGCCGTATCGCCATCGAACATACGTCGGACGAGTGAGACACACGGCGGTGGTAGCCCTAGTTACTCCAAGCACTGTGTGAGTAGCGAGTGTGGGATACTGTCGTAGGCCTTTGCGACATCCAGGAAGCAGCACAGTAGTTGTCTTTCTTCTTTCCTGGCCATTTCAATAAACTTCGTAATAGAAAACAAATTGTCCTCCAGCCCGCATCCCCTTTGAAAGCTCCACTGTAAATCAGTGAGGTGTCCTCCCTCTTCTGCCCATGCTGTCATTTGCTCCTTGATGAGGTAGGCAAACGCTCAGTACACCGTACAGGTAACTGTCAAGGCGCTCCCTTTCTTCGGGAACGATCGTGAAATCGCCCCCGAAGAAAGGGAGCGACCTTCCGATCGCTCCTCAAACTCTTGAGGACTGTTAACGGTGTACCATCCAGTCCCTGGGGGTGTTTGTTTCGTTTCAGGCATGTCAAAGCGCGCAGCAGACTAACATCCCCAATTTCCCACTGGTTGGTATTGAACTGGGGCTTAGCAGTCTTTTGGCCATTGCTGTCGGGGGTTGCTCAGTCAAGAGTTAACATCTCTTTTAAGTAGACAGTGAGATACATTCCCAAGTCCTTGACTTCCTGTCCCGTGCACTCATCCAAAATAATATTAGCTCTATATCGTCCCACGAATGTCTGCACGTAGGTCCAAAACCTTTCCGCAGCGTCTTTTCCACCGACACGGATATCATAAATGGTTCGCAGGTCAGCCGTTCTCTCTCTCTCCTGGGTAAGTAGTTTGGCGTATTTCTCCTGTGCCTGTTACAACTCCTACTTTCTTTTGGTTGCGTCGCCGT